GATATTATCGCGTACGAAATATATATAATATTTTACAGCGGTAGAATAAAAACTCAAGCCCAAACCTGCCCCATGTGATATACAGAACATCCTTTTAACCGATATAATCAGGGGTGTGGTGAAAATTTATAAACCATGATCTACAACATATATTTTAGTAACTATTCACCTATTTCTTTCTTTAGCACACGATCCTTGAATTCGATCTAACGCATAAATTTAAGAAAAGTAAAAAATATACAAAATCGAAGTACCTACTTACATTTTTTCAACTCAAACTTAGGATTAGAAAATCCTAAAAAGCTTTTCCATTTTTATGTTACAATTAACTAAAATACAGAATATTTACCTTATTGCCATGTTATAACTATCGAGTATTTGAATGCATTCGTGTTTCGTGTTGGTGATATGTTTAAATTCAGAAATTTTCTATGTGTGTATTCATTAAAAATCTTTATACATCTATCATTTCCAACCCCCTCCCATCTATAGGATTATTACAATGGCTTCATAAAAACTCCTTCACCATGCCACTGGTACACACTGGTACACACCACTACACCGTTTAAAAATACAAGAAATTACCTAGTCTAAAACGTGATATTAGAACTCGATGCGTAATAATAAATTACAATATATTATATAATAAAATGTGTAGAATGTAAATTAAAATGAAATCATATAATATATTACCCTTACCGGCCTTCAACAACTAACTGATTTAGTCTTATTTTTTCCTATGAGATCGAATTTGGTTTAAAAACAAAACTGTCCTGAAACGATTAGGTTGAAACAATATTTACTAGGTTAAAATTAAGTCATATATCGTAAATATTTAAATTAGGTAAATGTGTTTATGCGTGCACGTATCTGTGTGTGTTATGTTATACTAACGCGTGTTTTGTTATTATTAAACATCGTCATCAGACACACAAGAACATACATACTTTCGTAAACTTGGTGGTTGGATTTTGTAATAACAGAAAGTACTAGAAAACTTCAATTTTAATTTCTTTTTCCTAAGAAAAAGTTAATGCAAAAAAAAAAATAAACCTTTTTATTATTGTATACACTGCAATGACATTAATTATTATATCAAATTATTTTTCATCTTCACCACAGTCTGTCTGTGGGTATACTGATTTATTGTCGTATAATTCCTTAAGTTTGCCAAAGTATCTCAGAAAAATCGTAAATCGACACACCGTTTTCTACATGGACGTCATAGAGAAACAAAACAATTGGTGTTTTTTTACGAAATAAATATTAACGTTCAATACGTCGTGCGATTCTCGTCCTATAGATGTCGGTCGATTGCGATCATACATTAAATTCGAACGGTTTTAATAATTTACGTACGATACTTGTTCGAAACGCAGACGTTGCGATACCGTTGCGCTACGTCATCGACGTCTCGGAAGTGAGCACACAGTATACACGCACATAGGTGTAAACTGGAGGGGAAGGGGACAATTGTCCCCAAGAATAAATTAAAAGGGGCAGTTCCCTCTCTGATATTTATCATACCTTGTTTTAAAATAAATACAAAATAGCTATTTATGGCTATTGCTATACAATTTTTTTTTTTAAATCTTAATTTTAAATTTTCGCTTATCTAACATAATGTTAAAAAATGAATAATTTTATGTAATAAAATTTAGGTAGTAAAGTGTCGTTTAGCCTCGGACACCCTTTTCGTTAGATATATAATTATATTTTTGCCTCCCCTAATAAATTTCCAAGTTACGCTTATGTACACGCGTATCGTGAGCGTAACGTGTAGACCACCTGGTTTCGGCAGTTGTATGTGTCCAGGGCCGTGCGAACCAGGTGTTCAAGGTGTGATAAAAAACAAAGGCGGCCGAAAATTTAAGATGACTTCATAAATCAAATCCCAAAGAAAATGATCATAATAATTGCTTGTACGATAGTAATTTAATGTATACATGATATAATACATGTTTAATACCAGAATACATTTTAAGTGATTTTCACTAGGCGGCACTTCAATACAATTGTTTACCATCGTATTTCATAGATGTATACTCGTAGGTCGAAATTTCCATTTAAAAATTTGATTTTGAAAAATTAAATAATTTTTCAGCTACATCAGTCCATTTTCCATTCTCCATTATCAAATGTTCTTAAACATTACTTGGGGAAAAAATAAAAATTTGATTTCCTAGTTCTCTTAGAGGAGAAGATGATAAATTCATACGTATAATTTAAATTAAAATCTGGCTAAGAAAATTATGTTGAATTTGCTTCTGATTTTTGGTCTAAATGCATTACAAATATGACTTACTCCAACCCCCTTAACAAAACTCTGGACAGAGGTTAGATATAGCATTAATGGTGAGAGGGGTGGGGGAGGGGGCAGAAAATTCATTTGAACAACATAGGAGACCAAATAGGTCTGAGCGGGCTTGCAAGTGTCATTGATTCGAGTTAAATATTGCCCCGTATACCCGCCCCGGTTAACTTCTCACAAAGAATAATTTTCCGCGTTTCGTACAATAATATTTCGATACAGTTATCGACGACTGCATTGCAACAAAGGAATAACACTTTGTATTGTCTGCATATGAAATAATCCGTTTAATTTACTCATATATCCTGAACATAAACAACAAAAACAAGATCAGAGAATACATACATATTATACATATATTACTATACTCGAGCACGTACGGTATTTCTTTGGAAACTCCGTGTTAAGTAATTAATTTTCTGAGCCAGAATTAATCGATTACTTTTAAATTATTGTTTTCAGTTTCGGAGGTATTGTCGGTAACTATTGTTTACTACTAAACTATCGTTTAACATTTATGAATTCGACGCTCTATTGGAAATCGAAAAAAATTAGGTTGTATATTTATGTTCACTTAACAGTTTGATATAGACTCGTATTCGTATTACCAATATTGATGAGTAAGCGAATGCGTTTTAAATTGTCAAGTTCTTTTTTTACTTAATTGAATTTATAAAAACATCGTTTTATATTTTACTTTGCTATTAACTGTTCTTTTAAATTTTTAAATGTTTAGTGAGACTTCTCACTTATTGATATAAGTTTTTATAATATAACCTTAACTATGACCTCATCATGATATTTTATTATTTCTGTTATAAATTAGTTAAAATATTTCACAATTATACTATTAAAAATGTTCAAAAACTGCCATAGATATAATTTATGATATTCTTTTCTAATAATTTGATATATATAGTATTTTGTAGTTCCTTATAATAAAAATTGGCATTACGCGTTGTAATAGTGTTTGGTAATACTTCAAAAAATGAGAGCATTATAATTAGTATTGAATAAATAGTTAATATCTTTAACTTAATATTATTATTATATTGTAATAAATATATGTAATAAATTGTTTTAGCATTAAGAATATTTATATACTTCATATTATGATAATATAAAACAATCATCTCGTTAATCGTTGCGTTTTTAACGTATTTATTTTATTTATTTGTTTTTTAGATTCTTTGGAATAACATAAATTATACTTGAAAATTATATAGTTTGGCTGTAATGTTATTAAAATGTGCATATTGAACCTTATTACGGTTATACTAAATGATTTAGAATTGTACATACATTTAGTGATAATCAATAATCGTGAAATCTATCACAATATTGGAAATATAGGACTTAATAATATAAAATATTTTTAACGGTTATATATATGGTATTTACATGGACTAGTTACATTAAATATCAAATGTTCATTTTTTTCAATAAAAAAATAACGATTTTACTGTGATTTCAATTTCTACTTTTTGAATTCAATATAATATTTCATCCAGACTTTTTCAAATGTTTATTTTCCATTGAAGTATTTAAACGGGCGAATGTATTTATATGTATAAAAATATAGAAAAAAAAATAATTAAAAATTCACACATATCGAACAAGGTATTTTCTGAACATTTACATAAACGAAGTATTTTCCAATCGCATTCGTTTTGAAAATTTTAATATTTATATAATTTGAAAAATGTAGTTTTCTACCCTCCTTGCGCACAAAAAAAATGGAATACTTACAAAAAATGAATCGGGTTGTATTATGTACATTATAATTAGAACACGGATTTTTATGTACTAACATGTTTTTAACGAATGTATGCATTTTCACTAGTGTAAGATATATCAACGAATCTTAGTACATACAAAGAATCTGAATACATATTATTTTGCGTTTAAGTGCATATTTTAATGTTAAAAATATATTGTTATAAAAGCATATTTTTACCTATTTTACTAATATTTTTCAAGAATATAACGAGCATACCTATATTAAAATATTCAAGAGTATAAGAATCTTATTTCGGCTATTTTAAGAGAATATAAATCTGTGTTCTAATTATAATTAACGTTTAACAATAATCGACGAAACACATTGAATTGTCACTTTTTCTTAAACACATCGTAAAAAATCGAACTAATGTGTACCATAATAATATATAAGACCCCCGGCCTATAGTACGTGTACACATATACTCGTACTTCATTTAGGTATTACGAAAATCGACGAAAATCGAAAACTTATATGCGTTCTAAGTATGGAATCGAATTGCCTTCTAGAAATGGTCCGATTCATTTTAACCAATATCGGGAAACAAAAAGCATTCAAAGGATGACGGAAAATCTGTATGATATTATCAATTTTGGTTTCATAAAAACAAAACGATAGAGCCACGAGCGCAGTATAGAAATGCGTAGACCAGCGGTTCCCAAACTGTGTAGCGCGCCACCCAAAGGAGGCGTGAGCACTTAACAAGGGTGGTGCGGCGCGCGGTTGGAATTTTACACATATTGTTATTTTTAGATCAATTTCATGTCCGATAAAAATTTTGAAGAAACGATTATCTTATCTTATCCATACACGACACACATTGCACATTGCACACTGCACATTGCAGTAGTCAACTATGTAAAAAAAAGACCTGTTAAAGCAAGATTTTTTCAAAAACTGTGTGAAGAAATGGGAGCAGAACATACAATACTACTGTTTTACTGTAATTCTAGATGGCTATCTAAAGGCAATGAACTTTCAAGAGTATTCGAACTTAGACAAGAAATTTATTCTTATTTAAATAGAGAAGGTTATAATAATAGCGAAATGTTTGTTGATAGTGATTTTGTAATAAAATTAGCCTATTTATGTGATATTTTTGAAAAACTTAACTCACTTAATATATCTTTACAAGGTAAAGAAACTTATATTCTGCAATTATACGATAAAATAGTTGCTTTTATTAAAAAAATCAACTTATGGAAAAGAAAATTAACAGAAGAAAATGGCAAACCACTTATTTTCCACTTTTAAAATAATTGAATTACTTGAATTACCAATGAATTTAAAGACAATATTTTTAGAGCATCTGATGAATCTTGAAACTCATTTCATGAAATATTTCCCAGAAGAAATGAAACAGTACTATTGGATTAAAGACCCGTTCACTGAAAAACCACCATCAAATTTCACAACTACAGAAGAGGAACAATTAATCGACATTTCATCTGATTCTTCATTACGAATGCAATTATCTTCATATTCACTTTTAGGATTTTGGAACAGTATTAAAGATGAATATCCTGAAGTTAGCAACAAAGATTTACGTATATTAATACCATTTGCCACTTCGTATTTATGTGAAGCAGAATTTTCAGCTGTAGCCATATTAAAATCAAAATATCGATCCACACTCAATGTGGAAAAATAAATGCATGTTGCAGTAACTACATTAATTCCTAATTTTTAAAAATTAATAAACGAAAAACAAGCACATTGTTCGCATTAATTATTAATTATCATGTTTGCATTATTAAGTTTACTGGTTTTTTTTTGTCATTAAAATTTAAATTTAAAACTAATAAATATTATAAATTAAGCAATTTTTAACCTATTTTATTGAACATTCTTTGAGGGAGGCGTGAAAAAAATGTTTAATTATTAGGGAGTTTTGAATGAAAAAGTTTGGGAACCGCTGGCGTAGACAATAAAACTGAACGTTCGGCGATATGATACGATTAAAATTGAGAATTTATGAACGATCCCCGTGAAAAAAAAAATTCGTAATAACAGCAAACGCCAGACGAACGGCATTGTTTATGTGACGTAAAACCCGAGCAGCGGATGGCTGCGCGGCAATGCAGTTCAGAGCTTTTACGCTCTTTACGATTATAATAATAATTATTATTGAAATAAAATTGTATAATTGTTCGTGTTCCCGAGCGGGTTCGGAAATGCGGCCGAATCGTGAGCAAAAGATTTGCGCGCATTGATTTGGAAACAACGAGAATAGGACAGCGATTACGGCAATGGGTGCTACACCACCCGTTCGTGAATATTTTTATGATCTAGACTGATGTTAGTCAAGAGTTGGTTTCGGGTAGGTCACTTAGACGGTGTCACGTTGGTGGATGTATCATACCGAAAACGATGTTCCTAGACGAAATTTAATGTGCTTCGGGTTCGGTTCGCGAGCTGGAACGATATTAGCAGTTGAAGAAATAATAATATAATACCTGGTTACAGTAATCCGTGTATGTCGAATAGGTCCGCTGAAATTTTTTTCACATCCCACGTTTCACTCGATATTTGTAAGACTGTTATCGCATCGTTCTTTATTATTATAATTCTTAATTTTCCATTCAGTGTCTTTAATAACAACAATATAACATTCATAAAATTACAATAACTGTCGAACCCTCGTCACGTAATCAGTGCATTTTTTTTAAAGAATTTTCATTGGGCGGCGAACTATATTTTTTTCAAAGCTGCCAATATGTAATACTATGATGGTAGTATTTCAAGTTCACTTCGCGTAAATAATAAATAGTAATCTTAACACTGATTAGAAAAAGCAAATATCGATAATATTATACACACATTAATCCTCCATATCTACATTACCTAATTATTTTTTTTTTATATTTATGTCTTCTACTTTGCGGACGATAAAGCTATATCATCCAGTCCAGATCCTACTATAGCCTCCAAAAACCTACAAAACCATCTTTCATTAATGGAAGACTGGTACAAAAAGTGGCATTTTAAAATAAACCAATCCAAATCAGTACATACTACATTTATACTCAAATTAGCACCATGCCCAGAGGTTACGCTTTTTGGTACTCAGATTCCCCCATCCCCAAATGTTAAATATCTCGAGCTAACTCTCGATCACCATCCTACCTGGGCTCATCACATCAAAGCCAAAAAATTACAACTCCCGCTTACGAATGCTCAAAACCATAATCGTCAACAAAAATACTCAAAACTAAATATTAAATGACTCCTCTATAAATCTCTCTTAAAGCTAATTTTGACATATGGCATAAGGCTATGGGGCAATGCAAATATTTTTAATTTAAATAAAATTCAGAGATTCCAAAATATAACACTAAAAAAAATAACCAATTCTCCACCATTCGTATCAAATCACACCCTACTTAAAGATCTACACATGAAACAATTCAGGAAGAGGCAAAAATTATTATAAACGGTTCCACTTACGCCTTTCTCACAACCAAACTCACTCATAAAAAATTTAGCTGGATTAACTATCCCTGGTAATTCTCCTTGTCGTCTTAAACGAAAATGGTGCAGAGACCTACTACACCCTTAATCCCCAGAAACAAAAGAAAAAGAAAAGAATATATGGTATAAAATAATATAATTAAAAGACAAAGACGAAAGTGTCATCAGTGGGTGACTTATTTATTCAATATTTTCAATTTTTTCATGACAATAGCTCATACTCTTATTGTGTCAATTATGTACAGAATGTAAATATATTAATAATGCATGTATTACCTACTATTATTGTGGCTATGAACAATAATATTGTTTTGTAATTAATAGTACTGAAATAAATAGGTTCATAAATATAGTTTTTAATCATCAAATCCAAAATTTTAACATGTGGTGGCCGCGCATTTAAAAAAAACAAAGAGAATCTCCGTGCTCTATGAGTTCGTGGATGTCTTGTGCGTTTAACAAAAAAGTTCTCTCAATAACAAACGCGTATAGTCGGCAAAGACCAATTTAAAACATTCCAACTATCATGCGCACTCAGAGCACTGCTAAATCACTAAATAGTAGAACCATATAAAGAATATGAAAATAGTTTATTTGTGAGCATCAAATAATGCAGCATCCTGCTGCAGGTGGTACACTCTAGCTGTAAACTTCACAAGGATATATTTCAATGGGTTATAATCTTAAGCAATATCGTCACATTGCTACTATTCGAAATCCACAGAAACAATTCGATTCTCGTTCTAATACATCAAGTTTAAGAAATTGCCTCTCTTCGCTAATACTATACTCTTGACGATGATGAATAAATAAAATAAACTCCATTAAATAAAACCATTATCAAGCAACATCACCTCCGATTCTCATCTTTTAATTATCTATTTGTTTCGCTAGACTAACAGTATTTAATAATACTGAACAATTGAACACCATAGTTTTCCAATAAATATACATATTGAACATATAATTTATGACATGCCGACAGAAATCCCTACAAAACGTCCATTTGAAAATTTTAAATATGTACAACGTGTCTTAGGTGATTCAAATGAAGAAACTATTTTTATAACTATTCCAATTTACGTAGAATATGTTTTAAAATTGAATTTGAACTACATTTTCTTTGACTTTGATAAAATATTAATATCGTGTTCATATTATTAATGAACAAGTACGTTCAATCTTCTGCGATAGACGTGCTCATAAATCACGTAAATAGGTACACAAGTATAGATGTATATGTGTACTGTTACGATTGGTAAAACTTAACTGGAACTAAACAGTGATTTTCAAAAAAAAAATATTTCCAAATATACAAGTATATATTAAATATTTATATAATAATATTATAATAAATAATAATATTACAATAAATAAATTAAAACATGTTCTGAGTGTTATCATGATATTTATATATATTTTTTTTCGTTTGTACAATTCACAGCTTGTACATCATGTACCATTTACAGAGATAATTTTCTGTATTTAGTAACATTATATACGTATACGAGTATAAATACTTTCAGAGCCCGTCGAAATGGATTATTAGCTTCCTTGCAAACGTAGCGTATATTGTGGTTGTCATCGTCGTCGTCATAACGATATCAGGTCACGGTTCTTACCAATTACGTGGTGGTCAGCCAGATCATATTACACAACCCTTAAAGAAAAATTATAAAGGTTATACATCATAGCTCCTTGTTTCAAACTCTTCATTTAACCTTGCTTACTTCCCCCAAACGTCTTAAACATTAATTTATGAATATATTTCAACAAATAAAAACTAACCTACCTGACGAGCAAGATTACGTTTGTTTAAAATGTAAACCTTATTTTTTTTTCAATTTTTCATTTGAAAAAAAATCGGTGGATTAATTCATCGGTTTTTTCGATAGCAAAGTTTTTCACATTCATCCGTATGTTTTCAACAAAGCGCGAGCACGACTACTTCTACTTTTAACATTTATTTACGACCAAGGATTGTAGAACTTATTCTTTGCCGTCTGTAAAAGACGACAAAAAATAATGTTTACACGTCATCGTCATCGTCGTAACGACAAGTTTTATATTTTAAAAATAGCGTTTCACGTGTTCTCAATATAAAACGAGAAAAGTGGCCATTGAACACATCGAAAGATCATTTTATACATTGTTTACATCTACTCTTTTTAGCGCTTACTCGGTACACACAAGTATACAGCGTGACGTTTAAGCGATTGATCGGGAGGTTGTAATGGTACTTCAGGTTTATCAGAATTGTGAAATTTCGATTATTATTCCTTGGAATTCGAAAAAAAACCATAAATAAATAACACTTCGGTCAAAATCCATAACACGCTGCGTTACGCGCTACGTTTAGAATGGATTTTAAAATGGGTTGGCACGTCACTTTTACGTATATACATAAAACTCACTCACTCGATCATTCGACGTGTAACTTTTCAAGATATTATATCCCTCCAAAGCCAGACGATTACATATTATAGCAATCAACGAATCAGCCCCTTTTTAATTTACTGTATTTTCGTTATTTGCAGTGCTCGACTTGGCAAAATTAAAGAAGGGGGATTCTGTTTACTTAAAAAAAAAATTTCCCAAAACTTGTTAAGTGTTATAATTATAACGTAATGATAGTAAAGAAACGTTAACATTTATGAAAATTAGTTGGGGTACTCAGTCCCCCTGCTTACCACCTCCAAGTAGAGCACCGTGGAAAATTATTTTGATTATTTTAGATTAGATACAATTAGAGGCAGATCTTCGGGGGGAGGGGGACGTGGCGATTATCTTTCTTCCTTGTGCATTTTTTTTTACAGATGTATTTAATATTTTTTATATAGGTAAATATAATAATTTTATAAATACCTATAAATTATGTATAAATTTGTATAAGTAGTATTTCACAATAATAAATAATAATTGTGATAACTATTATATATACGACCAATGTTGTAACCCAGCAACCGAACTATAACCATTGATTTTATAATATACAGATAAGCTGAGGTATAGGAATATTTGGAAATCGTATTTTTAGATTTATTTAATTCCTATAGACATCGATAAACAAACATAGATTTGTGTTATCAATAGCTTATCACACAAAGAAATACTCCGTGTATCGTACTACGTGTACGCATAATGACATTATCTTCTATTTATATAAAATGACTTGTTCTG